TGAGAGTCACCTTCAAGAAACATGAGAACAAAACGGAACAGGCCAGCTTCCAGAACGCCTGTGAATTTTCACTACAGTATTGCACTGACAGCTTTCCAGTATTTTGTGGCAGGCCTGTAAAACAGGCCTTTACCTCTGATTTCTTTGGTAAACTTGACACGTTGGGAGTCTGTAAGAGGTTTGGTTTGTTCATTGATGTTCTGAATGTCCAAGACCTCGCACATGAACTCAATGATAGGCTGGGCACGATAGAAAGCAGTTGCTGACACTAAGATTTAAACAAACAAATAAATAAATAAAAGAGCGAAAAAAGGAGGACATTTAATCTAGAAGCAGCAAGAACCCTGTTACACAGGGGAGACAGAGCTTCCTACGTACCGTCAATGTTGAGCATCATGTTCCACATGGCAGGCCTGACAGACTGGTGGAAACCAAACCAGACCTCCCTGCCGCCACCCAGAGGGTGATAATAACCTTCAGGAGGGGAGAAGAAGGAGCGACCCACGGGAGTGTACCTGAGCACATAAAAAATTCATACTCTCATCAATCCTTTCTAGCACACTTTTCTACATTCGTCCCTAAAGCGTCTAAAACCCCACATTTCTGCAGCGTCCTAGCACTGCTAGGGCCAACTTATGGCGAGCACACAAAAAACCCTTTGCAGACAGAGCAGTTTGAAAGGCCATAGTAAATTACTGTTAGAAACATGACCAGCACATACAAGTCCTGAGCTGAGATCAGATTTCCTTACTCTACTGCAAATTTGTAAGGCAGGCATTGAGTTACACAACAGCATCCCTCAGCTCTTCCACAGAAGAAGCAGGAGAATAGCAGCAAGTAATAACTAATGAAAATTCAAGACAGATATGAGACTAAACCAGAAAGAAGATACCAAAATTACCCACCTCATGGAGGGAAGATGCCGTGTGATGACGTCGAGTGCCTGTACTGAATCTTCAGGAACTTCATTCAAATGCCCTGCCAGGGCTTCCAGCAGCAGCTGGAGGCTGACGACTGACACCCACTGAATGGAGACTTTGAACGTCTGGTCCTTCCCCTCTCCTGGGAGCGTCACCTCCATATCCACCTGCCACAGGCAGAATACAGTTAAGGACAAAACTCTGGGACAGACTGAAGGCTACCACAGGGCTAAGCAGCATTGTGGGTTTCTCTTGGATATCCTTTGAATCTACATTCATGATGATTAGCTTGCATAATTCTCTTAAAATATTGCCATCAGTTAGTTTCCTTGGGATTTTGAAAGCTTGTAATTTGTTCATCTGAGGAAACTGCACTGAGGTACCTTTACGTGCAAATTTTTAGCAGTAATTAGTATGGTAGCATCCAAGTTCTGGAGAACTGTTAGCCACTTTTTAATGTCAGCCAGCTAACAGCAAGTTGATGTTCTGTGTTCTTAACATGAGAGCAAGAAACTCCTTTTGGTCGCAGGAAAAACCATTGGGAAATGCAAATTTCAGATTTTTTTTAGCACAGTACTTGGAATTATTCTCACACACCATTAACTCAAAGGGTAAACGTGAACTCATCCTATGTATTCCTCACGGCACTGTACCAGCAATAACCACATCCCTGGGAAGAAGAGGAAATGGGGATTATTTACATTTCGTGTCAGGACCCTCTCATACATACTTCAGTCTGTCAGAACACGGGTAGAACATCCCATAACATGCTGGGGAGCGTGGCCCAGGGCACTAAGGGCTAACACCACTGACTGGGCTGTCGGCAGCCCTTGTGCCGGCGGTTCTTGTGGAAAGAGAAGGTCCATCTCAGCAGCGCAGCCAAACCAGCGCACCGTATTTGTCACCTACAACTGCTTTATCATTTAGCAACAGAACACGTGCTGTAACAGAGGAGGAGCAAGTCTGCAAACTTCCCTGTGGATGAGAGACTGCCCTGGACTAGCTCACACTGTCACGGATGAGCTCCCTGACAAAAGGGCTGGGAACTGGACCCTTGAATGTGACAAGCTTCAGCAGAGGGTCTGGTTTCTCAGGGAAGTCTGACTGACGCTGCCTGTAATTTCCAAAGCTACACTAATACATGTAACCATAGCTTTGGTCTACGTCAATAAAAGAACACTTTTCAAACTACACAGTAGCATTTTTTTCCATAAAAACTTAGAATTGCTCTTAACAGCACTTACTCTATCCCGGCCAATAGGTAAGGGGTGTGCAGTGTACATATTCCTTTTCCCATCGTATCCAGGCTGCCGGTCACCAAATATCTGCATCTTGAAGTGTCTCACCATAGTATCCACCACTTCTCTAGAGAGGGATTTATTGAGTTAGGATGGAGCACAGGAAAATTCAGCAATGAACTTACACAATTTAAAATTCTGCATTCACACTTTCTTAAAGGAAATGGGTCTCAGTAACCACAAGGCACTAGACTACACCTAAGTTTTTAGCAGACACCAAAAGTCCCCTGCAGATTAAGGCACCAAACGTTCAACACGTGCAGGTGTCTCAGCTCCCATTAGTGTCAGCAGAGATACAGTCAACACAGGCAGCGGAATGAGCAGAGCTGCACAAGTACTGGGGCAAATACAAGCACTTATCCTAGGGATACTTGGGGTGTTTGATAGATTAAACTGACTCTACTGGAGAAATCCCAGGCATGGACACCTAGAAATGTTGGTGTCAATCTCCACGCTGAATTCCTTCCCCTCAGACATCTTTGCATAAACAGACTGTGGAACAATTATCGGGAATATTCACTTGTGGACTAGAGAATTAAAAAAAGCTTTCATTTAAGGCAAGAGTCTTCTTTATAATATATTTGTTAATGTCTTCTATATGGCAGTCCAATTGTAAAAATCTTAATAAAAATAAGGGGCAGGACAATAATATATCTCACTGAAAGATTGGGCAACTCCTAAGCACAGAACATATATAAACTGTCCTTTAGTAGTGGAAAAAAAAAATGAGGATGTACAGTTGCCTTAAACCAAGATATCTAAATGCTTTTCTATTAAAGGACTCATACCTGTTCACTCGTCGGGGACGCTTTTCTGGTTTGATATCTACATCATAGTGATAAACATCAATCTTGGGGATCTGAACCTGAAAATGATTGGCCAAGAGGCGAATGGGCTTCCCAACAGTTCCCAGGCCAGGGCGACGGGGCGGCTGGAAAAGGCTTGCTGGAGGCCCTATAAAAGTCAAATAAATTTATATAGGACAGAATTTATCACTCGCTGCAGTATCTTTTCAGGTGTACTTTAGTTGAAAGGGCTTCCTGAAGGGGCAGGAAAATCTCACGTAGTTTTCTGAGGCTGCAAGCAAAAGTGCTCCAAGCAGCTCACGGCCTCCAGGTACTGAACACCAGTGTGTTCCCTAAAGCACAGGGACGTGTTAGTGTTAAATTGCATTCTCAAAATGTCACTGATGTTTATGCATGACTGTAGTTCACAAATGAGATAGAACCCTATGATGGAATACAGCCCCTTACATATTCTTTTTTTTCTTATATATAAAATATAAATGTTTATGTATAGATTCCTACATCATAGTAGAAATAGCTGCACTTTTTCATTACAGACTTAAAGTTCAGAAGTTAATGAGAGTCTCCCTTGGCATACTCAGGAAATAACTCCCCGATTTTATCTGAAAATTGATATAATCTGGAAATGGAGGAAAGGATACATTTATGCTAAACTAAATTAAAAACATATTTCCATATAGACAAATACTATTTTGCCATTTCCCTTACATCATGAACATATCACTGCTCTTAACAGTGAAATGCTTTTCAGCTGGAACACACTTTTGACAAATTTCAAATTCTAATACAAACGAATGAAAAAAAGTTTAGGCTTGCTTCTAAGAAGAATAGTAAGGGTTCGAGAATAAAGACATGTTTAGTCTCTTGGCAAAGGTGGAGAAGGTAACATAACTCGGCAAAAATAACAGCTTCACACAAAGAGTTATAAAGAAACTACTAAAGTCTCGGGAAAGTACTCAAATGCAAGTCACTAATTTCCTCGAAGCACCAAGATCTGAGATATCTCATTAGCAAGATTAAACAGACCTTTAACAACGGCACAAAAAGCCACCCCAGCCCCAGCCGGCCCCGCACGGAGCGGTTGGGATCAGCGCGTTTCCTCGGCCCCGTCCGCATGTGCCGGGGCTCGGCACGGCGAACGCCGCTTCCCTCCTACCCACCAACAGCTTCTTGTTGCCAGCAACACTTGTTGGAGCAGCAAAGAGAAGGAAGTGGGAAAAAAAAAAGTACCAGAATGTCAGAACACACTAATAAAGCAATAATAAAACTTAGCAGGGTGAGGCTGCGTCAACCTGGCAGCGTCTGCTTAAATCAAGGGGAGAAGGGAGCAGACAGCAGGAGGAGGAATACGTTCACGTGTGCATAACTTCAGGGCGAGGAATAAACTGAACTAAACCCAAGACTAGAAATCCAGGGAGGGTTTTTTCATCCGCTGGCTACCAGCGTTATCAGTTAAAATGACAGGTTGAGGATACAACCCCCAGAATATCTTTAAGGGCCTGCAAGCAGACGCAGCCTGTTTGATGCCATTTTTCTGGTCACAGGGAGCACCGTGGCTCCTGGGCCTCCAGCATCCAGCAGGACACAGGCCCCCGGCTCCGCTCCCCGGGAATAACGGTCCTCAGGCAGGGAGAAGCTGCCCGAGCAGAGCTAAACCGGCCGGGGGGCGGTCAGGACTTTAAAAAGCTACGGCCCTCCAGACAGGCGTGAATCATCAAGGGCAACCAAAGTTTGCTGCGCTTATTTGGATACTGGGGAGATGATCCATTAATCCTGCGCTAATTAGTCTGAAGTAGTGCGGGCGCTGACCTCCTGCGAGAGATTAAATGACAACTATATTTACTCATTTTCCTTCCCCAGTATTGATAAATTTTGTAAACAGCCACGGGCAGCACCGACCTAGGCCAGTCTGGTCAAAAGGGGATAAAAGTTACAGCACTTTCCCTGAAGTCCTATAATAAAGAGCTTCAAGCGGGATGCACCATTTTCCCATTGGAAAAGCCAGGCTTCCCAGCAAGCGGCTCCGTTTTCAGCGCGACCGTGGCCTGCGCAGCCCGGCTGCCCTCGCCGCTGCGCTGCCTTCTCCCAGCGCGTGGATGGTGCCGTTTGCCCCGCAGCCAGTTGCTTCAGAGAGGAAGCAGCTTTAGAAAACGAAAAGAGGATCTGCTCCCCAAGGCCAGGGAGCCGAAACCCCGCGCCGGGCGCCGCCGAACCCTCCTGTTGCGCTTGGGAGCGGGGCGCCCCGTTACCGAGGGCAGACGCGCGAGCACCGGGGCCGAGACCTCCCCTTTGCAGGCGCAGGAGAGCGCCCGGACGAAATAACGCCGCTATTTAACCGCAGGC